TTTTTAAATAAAAGCAAACAATTTTCCTCATTATTTTCAGATGCAGAGTAATTAATGATTGTACAACTTAGGCCCGAATCATGAATGATCGAATAATGATTGACCGAAATAATTTTATCCCGAATATTTTTTTGTCCGAAAACACATACGCTCGAATAACGGTTGCCCGAATTTACTATTGTCCGAGATAAATATTCAGTTTCATAAATGATTAGGTACTAAATAAATATTACACTAATATTCCACAATCAGCTCTACTTCTTTCCCTGTTCGGTCGGACATTCCCTTTTCCCCAGCTGTGGATGCATTGCACTGGCCATGTGGTCACGTAAGATACTGTATGACGTATTTGACATTAATGAATAACCAACTTAAGGGCTTGTTCCCACGGACACATCCTATTTTTTGCAGGACCTGTTTTTTGCATGATCCCGTATATTTGTATACGTGTTTTAATATTACCGTTCACACTAACATCCTGTAAGCCGTGTTCCGTAAAAAAACAATCTTCTAATTTCAAACACATAAAATGAGTGTCACACGACAGTCCAGTTTTGCAGAATCCAGTAATGCAGGAATAACAGGATTGCCGTGGGAGCGAGCCCTAAGGATTACAGGGTTATTGAGTAATTATGTAACCTATAAGAGAGAGCTGTATAATATTGATTTGGTAGAAAGGAGGCAGGGGCAAAGAAACCTTTAAGGAGAAATTATGATGACGTTGTTTAAAATTAGTCAATTTTGTTTTTATTTTGTAATTTTCTTTTTATTTTAAAGTCGTGTTAACAATAACAATAACAATTACATAATATTATTGTGGACTTGATAAATATTATAGAAAATACTAGCTAATAAAATAATTTTATTTCTAGCTTAATGTAAGTTAAAGGATCTGTAGTTGCACTTTGTCAGGTGAGCCATATTATGACTAACCACTGAACGTCATAAAATCCCAACTAATATTATAAATGCGAAAGTAACTCTGTCTGTCTGTCTGTCTGTCTGTCTGTCTGTCTGTCTGTCTGTCTGTCTGTCTGTCTGTCTGTTACGCTTTCCCGCTTAAACCTCGCAACCGATTTTGATGAAATTTGGCATAGAGATAGTTTGAGTCCCGGGAAAGAACATAGGATAGTTTTTATCCCGGTTTTTGAAACAGGGACGCGCGCGATAAAGTTTTTCTGTGACAGACAAAATTCCACGCGGGCGAAGCCGCGGGCGGAAAGCTAGTTACCAATAAAATACAGGATTCAAAAGCCACTTGCCATCGTTTATTTTTTTAACGATAAAATAGTGCCTTGAGCACGAATGGCACTCGTGGTTGTACAGTAATCGATCGTATTCCTTACAATCGTAGTGGCAATTTTTCATAAAAAATAAACGATTACTATTAATGTTGAGAGCCGAAAGTGATAATAAGAGTGTTTTATACCTTTTGCTTTTGTATTTTGATAGCCTTTCTGTCTATTTGCCTTGTTAGCACATTTTTGTATTAAAAAGCTTATTTCCTCAAGTTTCTTTGATTTTCGCTTCCGTGCTGGCATAGTCTTTAGACCAGCTGTCTGCAACACACACTATAATGAGAACGATATTGTTCGAGCTTAGGGCACAGAAAATCTTATGCATTCTTCAGCGGGTTCGATTCCCGCACAGTACAATCATTTGTGTGCATGAACATAATTATTTGTTTGTATTGGAATGGGTGTTTTCTATGTATATGTATGTTCGTTCGTTTCAGCCGAAAGACGTCCACTGCTGGACAAAGGCCTTCCAAGGATTTCCACAAAGACCGGTCCTGCGCCGCTTGCATCCAGGTACTTCCCGCGACCTTCACCAGATCGTCGGTCCACCTAGTGGGAGGCCTGCCCACGCTACGTCTTCCAGCTCGTGGTTCATAAGTTAAATTGTAATCGAATAATTTTAAGATTTTTTTGTTGACGCTTGAGGCTAACAGTGGTGACTTACTTACCTACTTATTATAGAGTATGTTGTTGTTCTGAAGCAGTGGTAGTGTTAAAGTAATACTTGTAAATGTAAAAGCAGTTTTTAAAAGCCTTTTGTAGAAAATAAATGATTTTCATAACTTTCACACTACAGACACGCCTTTAAGGGTAATAAGTAAGAATTAGGAAGGCAAAAACTTTTAACCTACCTAAGTAAGTATCCACCTGGTAACCTACCTACCTACAGAACTTTTTGGATATCGGATATTCCATTTACGTATTACGTTTCGGTATGAAATCATGTTTATGCGGTGGTATAAGGATTTTCCACGGTTTCTTCTTCAGGTATTATTTTCACTTTGAAGAATTATAATTTTTGTTTGGGTAAATGGGTGACACATCTGCTTATTTTTGTGTCAACTGATAATTTATGAATGGAGTGAAAGACAATGTTTACAAGAATGAATACGGTATTTTGAACTCAGAATACCTATTTTGGAATTTTGGTGTTATTGACCCCACCCAAGTAGTAAGTAGCACATTTTGCGTCCTTACAAAATGCTACATCTTGACTGAAAAATTTTTTTAATTAACCTTTAGAAATACAATTTGTACTAACCTACGCTACGTCACACTACTGATTATGTGCAAACCACAAAAACCGTAATAAAATAAAAGTGTTTTTAGTACAAATCTTAATAGCTACCTAGCAGAGTATGTGCATATGAATTACTGAAAAAAGGTGGGTAAGCAAAGAAATTTAGTGGTATTTTATTTTATAAATAAAGTAAAAAAAATAAGCTAACATCTACAGGAAACTTACACAAGTTTCGGCCCGGTTCGACCAAACTTTTATCCGAGAATAACTCATGGTATAACTGGCACATTGACAGTTTCAGTATGGGAAATAATAATTATGTAAAAATGTCGTATCTGACAATTTATTCTGAGATTAATATTAATCTTGTTTGGTAGAATCCACCCTTAAACTTGTTAAACTAACCATCACTTTGATTCTCTTTAACAACTACATCTGCTGACATTGCTGCGAATCTCTACCTGAGCAAATGTAGAGCTAAGAGTTATTTTAACAGTTTCATTGCGATTTATGTAGAGAGGTAGAGATGGCGCTTTATTAGAATAATACTGTTATTTGAGGCCAATTATTAATAAATGTATTCTTACTATTATATTATTAATTAGGTATCTCAATGAAATTTATTTTTCATGCAAGATTAATTTTAACACAGATTAATAGGAGTAAGTTTTATCCAAGTGTGGATAAACCAATAAAAAAGAATAGGAAACTTTTATCAATAAATTGTATTTAATTGAACAGTAAATAATAATTATTATCACATTCATATTCGTAGACAAAATATTATCAAAAAAAATATTTTGTAATTGGTATTTGTAACATAAATATTTAAATGCGTTAACATCTTTTAAAAATGTATTTTTATTATGTAATGTCCTACTTTTCAATAATTATTCTAAACATTATGACAAAATAATATTAAAATCTCTACCTATTTACTATTAACTAACTAGATCTAAAACTTAAATTATTAGGAATGTACTTGTTTCATAAATATTTATTTATGCATCCTGCATCACAAAGGCAATGCAATGGAAATATTACGTAAATTTTGAAAACATAATATCAAAACATAATTTTTAAAAATAATAATACCTACCTACACATCATAAATGTAAACCTACCTTTCATCCATCTCATTATTATTGAATATAAGTACAGAACCTTGTTTTTTTAATATAATTATAGTAAATAGTCTCGTAGCTTTACGTAATTTTGTCCTTCTTTTAGTATATTTATTTGTAGTACATTCTATTTTTCTGCAAAAATGAATCGTCGGAGGCGACTGTACTCGTGGCATATCACAGATAGGTACTTCTTTTAAATTCATTTTAAAGTTAACTACACTCAGCGGCACGGAATTTGGCCCAAGCCTAAACACCCAGATATGAGGCCAAATAGGTGTTGTATACCTAAGTTTCGTGTGACATGTTAACAGAACATTTGTTTTTGTTAATTTAAGAGGCTACATTAATAAAAAAAAAGCGTCTGTTTAACTTTTTTGACTCTAGAAACGCATTTCGTTGTTGGAGCGTAAAGAGTACGGGTAAGTTCAAATTCGATATTAAAATGTTGTAAGGGTTTGGCGTTTTGTTTTTTGTTTCTAAATTAATCTTAGGGTAATTCTCGTTTCCATAATTTGAGAATAATGCCTATTACTCCAGCTCAAGTTGTTCAAATAGTGTTGCTTAGAAGTCAAAGGCGTATGCAGCGGGAGATGGCTGAAACTTTTAATTTATGGCGTACAAACTTAAGATACACGTTAAAAAGGCATGACCAGACCGCCTTTTACACAAGAAGACCAAGAAGTGGGGAATTAAGGTGTATGTTAGCGCGCGATTACCCGATTATCGTGCTTGCAATATCAAGAAATCGGGTTCTCACTACGTTTGAGATACGCCAGCGTTTAAAAACAGCAAGCCCAGTGAATGTCAGTGAGCACACAATAAGAAGAAGGATGGAAGATCATAACCTGCATACTCGAAGACCAGCACGAGGACCAGAACTTCTCCGATACCTTCGCGAAGTACGACTTACGTTTTCTGGAGAACATGCAAATGAAATTAAAAGTTTCAGCCATCACCCGCTGCATACGCCTTTGACTTCTAAGCAACACTATTTGAACAACTTGAGCTGGAGTAATAGGCATTATTCTCAAATTATGGAAACGAGAATAACCCTAAGATTAATTTAGAAACAAAAAAAAACGCCAAACCCTTACAACATTTAATATCGAATTTGAACTTATCCGTACTCTTTACCCTCTAACAACGAAATGCGTTTCTAGAGTCAAAAAAGTTAAACTGACGCATTTTTTTATGAATCTAGCCTCATAAATTAACAAAAACAAATGTTCTGGTAACATGTCACTCGAAACTTAGGTATACAACCCCTATTTGGCCGCATATCTGGTTGTTTAGGCTTGGGCCAAATTCCGTGCCGCTGAGTGTATTTCAATTTCGTAACGAAGGATTTTAAATAAATTTATGTACAAGTAGTACAAGTTTTAGTTCTCATTTTGAACATATTTAAACATTTGACTTTTTGAAAAGTAGAAATAAATGTCTTCCAGTGTTATAAAATACATAAATACATAGGTAAATATTTTATTTAAAAGGAACAAAAGTGTGTTTTATGAATTGTTCTATTATTGTTAAATAGTTTCTATATCTCACTCTATTGTTCCATCACATGGATACGGTGTGTATCACCAAACAAATCCATGTTTATTTGATGTATTAGGCAACCACAAAAGTGAGGCTCGTATTCATAAACCTCTCTCGATGTTTGACTAAAACCATGAGTTGGAATAAATTGACTATGACTTGGTTAACGGAAGATGACAAATAAACGTATTTTGCTATCAAAAATGTCCTACATTACATATTATTGAAGCTCCCCAAAATATTTTGTAACATCGCGATAAACTCAATAGTTGAATAGATCACGTAACTGTTCCCAGTGATAGGTATTTAGGACTCCATTTCACTAGAACAGCCACTTCATAAAAAACGACGGCCTCTCGTGCTAAATCAGACAATCCGTTCAAAAGTCAATATTTTGTAAGCTTCCAACTCAACTTAAGATCAGCTTACCAACACTTGCCTCCATAATACTTCAGTAAAAATACCTTAACGTTACTATCACAGTCAGGAAACTAACATACGACGCTTTAATCCTGGATCCAGCTCCCGTCGTCCAGAAGCGGCTTTCCTTTATCTTTGGTGCACAGTTGCTGTGCTTGTCTTCTGTAATGCACATGGCGTATGCCATCATATGGGGCAGGAGGTTCTGTTCGTAGCTGGCGGTGAACAAGTGCTGCCAGGGTCCTGCTGCGAAGACGGCTACGTCTTCTCCACCGTGGGTCTCGGAGTCGAGGGGAACTAAGCTTGGGTAGGAGTAGCCTAGGTCACCTGAAATGTTGGTAATATTTGAGATCAGTAAGGTGGATAAAGATTAATACATAAAATGCTAAACGTAAACCATATAATTTTTCTTTAAAGACTTAAATGGGTCTTTTCTTTGCCTAGCAACTGCCAGTAACGTTTTGGACAGAGACATTAGCTAGCAGCTAAACTGTAGATCTTGACTAGGTATCTAAGAGATTTATAAGTGGGAACGAGAGGTAAGATTAGTCTCACGTAGTGGTTGGTAGAGTAAATAAGCACAAGAAAGAGCGTCGTTATGTTAAGTAAGTAGGTATTTTGATTATAAAAAGTTAATAGCAATATCAAAGATCTCTGTGTTGCTATCATACAACACAGTTACATACTCATAAAGATTTTTCAGTGCAGTGAAAGTGCAGAAAGCGTTGCGTTTCTTCTGTAAATTAATATGTTAGAGTGCTTAAAAATACTTACGATTCATAAACTGCTGATGCAGCGTCACATCGACCCTCTTCCCATCGGCACTAATCGAATCAGCCTTCCCATTTGCATAGCTTATAGTAGTATACGGTATGTTATCAGCTCCAGTGGCCGTGTCCACTGTCCCCAGAATGTCGTTGCCTCTTGAAGGATACCCAGCTACCGTCATAGTGTGGGCATGGTCGGAGCTGACCACGATCAGTGTGTCCTGCTCACTCGTAAGGGACTTGGCTTTCTTGATGGCTTTGGAGAACTCGACTGTCTCGTCGAGGGCCAGGTGTGCTAAGCTGTCGTGGTGGGCGTGGTCGATTCTGCCACCTGCAAGAAAATAAATTCGTTACACAATCTTCCATACTTATTGTAAGATTTTATCGATCAAGCACTTATATTAAAGTAGTTGAGTAAAACCTATGAGTAACAATAATTTATGATTTAGCAGTGTATGTTTTACGTCATCAGGTTTTCATAATAAAAAAAAAACGAGAAAAACAATCACTCTGATAATTAAAAAATGCTTTGATTTCCCCATGTTTCGCCAAATTACATAGTGTTAATTTCCATGTTGAAAGAATAAAAGAAAAATGTTTTATGAGTATTATGATACAAGTGATTAGATCTTTATTGATAGTGTTATAAAGTCTTAAATAACTCCTCGCATTTTCTGGAGGATTATAAAAACGCGTGCGTCATTTAGGAACCAATCGAAACCGCATCGAAAGGCGGGTGGCACGTCACCGGCCTTATTATATCAATGTTTACATAACATAATGAAATCAAATCAAATCAATGTCAATCATGGCGTTTTATCACGAAAACTATTGCATTGTGAACCGTGACCCTCGTGATAACAATGGGCATGTCAAGGTTGCTTGCAAATTAAAAAGTTATTCGCTTATTCGTTCCAGGTAGCGATTCACTCAGACTTTTTGATGAAAGAATTTGTTTTGGTGGTCATGGGGGAAGTCCGGGAACAGATATTATTATCTCCAACTTCTTTCCTCGCTTAGTCCAGTTGAATTTAATTCTGGAACTAGATTACTCACAATGATATCAACCAAAATATGATTGGTTTTCAAGTAGAAATTCAACGATTGGCAAACTCAAGTAGGTCGAAGCTCAACTTCGAATCAAGTATTGGGCGGAAATTTTGAATCTGAGCCATAATCTGGTATTCTGATTCAGCCGTATTTTAAAATCACTAGCCATAGTAGGTAATAGAATACTATAAATCATCATCATCATAATTTCAGCCACAGGATGTCCACTGCTGAACATAGTCCTCCAGGATTTCCAGATTGGCCGGTTTCCAGGTGCCTGCATCCAGCGCCTTCCTGCAACCTTTATGAGGTCATCTGCTGTCCACCTTGCGGGCGGACATTCCACTCTACTTTAAAAGATTTGATGATAATAATGATTCATTAAATACCTTCAACGAACAAGAAGTATCCTTTCTCGTTCCTGCTCAGCATCTTGATGGCGACTTCCACCATCTCTTCGAGGGTCGGCTGGTTCTGAGCCTGCAGGTGGTAGCTCATGTGGTCGTCATGGAACAGGCCCATTAGGTATTCTGGAAGCTCGTCGGAGTTGTAGACCTGGAAATACACACATAATTTTATAGACTGAGAAAATGTTTACTCGAATACCAGGATAAAAAATAGTATATTTTTCATCTAGATCCGTTTAGTAGTTTTTGCGTGTAAGAGTAACAAACATCCATACGTCTTCACATGCCTTTACATTTTAATAATATTAGATGGGATGGGTATCATAAATGAGCATAGGTGTGCCAGGGTGTGAGTGGTAGAGCTAGAACCCCATTATAGACCATGCTTACAATTTTATGTGATACGGAACAGACTGGCGATGCATCATCACTATAATATTAGAGCGATAGCATTCGTTAGTTCGTTCGTTTCAGCCGAAAGACGTCCACTGCTGGACAAAGCTGGACAAAGCTATAAGTCTGCTTCTCATTACTAGCATGCCGTGGAAATACGTTATAGGATTACTATCTTGCTTAACACAATGAAGAATGTTCACTAATTTTGTTTTTTAGCTTTCTGTATTCTCTGTTAAAAATAAAAAATACAAGTGAAAGAATTATTTCGATACGTCAATTAGTTTCCAAGATATTGAATTTTAAAAGTGCGGGCTGCGGCCGGCCCGCCATTTTATGCGCGTGACGTCATATTACAACGACTGGCTCATATTTGTATGGGTGGAATCTTGCAAACTGAATTAAGACCCACTTCCAGGCAACCGATTAAGCTGAAATTTCGCAAACACATGTGATTTGGATGACCATGCAATATTATGATGACATGGAGCTGATCTGATGATGGAGCTGGAAGGTGGCCATAGGAACTCTATAATAAAACGACTTAACTGCATCGAGTTTGGGCTCGTTCGTTTTGTATTGTTGAGTATTTTAATTCTATATAGTAATCGGGGTCTAATGATGGAGCTGGAAGGTAATTCGCAATAAAACGACACAATCGCATCAAGTTTGGGTTTGGTTCAATTTTAATTTCTGTGATGGGTCTGGAAGTTAATATGTATAATAAGTTTGTATTTACAAAAAAAAAATATTTGAGTATGTTTATATCCATTTTCTAGTGAGCGGACGCTGTGAATGTACGTCACACGGGGTCACGTGACCGTCGGCGGGACTCAATATTTAAACGAACTTTGAATGCCTATAAAATCATAACTACTGGGTATTTTTGAATGAAATAAAAACTAATGTATTTGTAAATGTAAAAGCTTAACTTTAACATAGGTTTCAAGTGATTTTGCATACCTAGTAACATTCTCAAATTTCCACGAAGGTACGGGCCTATGTCACATATTCGTAAAAAGTTCGTCAATTTTTTTTTCACAAGTTACTTGAACGAGACCATAAAATAAAGCTTGAGTAGAATAAATATCCACTCACCATAAAGGACGAAGCACACTTATCAACCCGGAAACGGATCGTAACCGTATCAACTCGATGCGGTCAGTATCCTTTATATGAAACTCTGTACTGCAACGCACACTTATCCGCACTGTAACATAAACGCGGTGTTGTGCCTTTCTGGGTTGATAAGTATGGGCCATACCTTAAAGAATGAATGTCTACTAAAGTCAGTTTCGCAAATCACTCCGTAGCTGAATAGCGCTGTCGTTACCTAACTACATAGTTCAAATAGGCTTTCCAGTTGTGGGTAAGTTGTGGGGCAAAAACGATTAATTGACCCAATGACTCATCATAGCCGGAGCTAACTTGAAAACGTCTGCTACAGCATTCTGGGGTGTAAATCACAATGAGAGTAGAGTCAGTGGGGACACTTCGATAATGCAAAAAACAAGTGTAAGAGTAAGAGACCTCTGTAGACCAAAGGTGTATGCTTATGTCCATGTAAATAGATTTGCTTTTAAATGAGGGCATTTACACTGAAACAGTTTGTACCACTGGCTGATTGATTCTGGTAAGTATAAGTGAGAGTCCTCCTACCGCTTTAGCGCTTACTAGTTGGCGCTACTGTATTAACCACTAGTGAATGGTAGTCCTATGGCCACCTATGGCGCCAAGACTGCAACTGGTGGGGACAAATACGTTAGTCCTCATTGAACCAGTTTACCAGTTCCTTATTAAAAATAAGGTTACTCTCTCTCTCTCTCTCTTTAGATCTCTCTCCGCACTGAACGAAAAAGTACAGAAGATACAGTAGGTAGTTTAAATATTTGACACCAGCCTCCAATAGCCTCCAATTTGTGCGAATCCTTGGGGGAGGCCTTTGTCCAGCAGTGGACGTCTTTCGGCTGAAACGACGACCGAAGATTAGAATTTTTAAGTAATTAAAGGTGGGCTTGCTATATTAACTTCAACTGTGCAAAAACTGTCCATAGCTCAAACGATTCCCCGCCTACGCACCGCTGAGAAGTGCCTTGTGAAAATCGTACAGTTTTCATTCCGCGGAAACGTTTCGGCAAATTGGCAATAACTTCCAGTCAAAAACTTCACAAATAAGGAGATTACAGTTGGAAAAAGCGGATGACCTGAAATTACTTTATTTCTAATGAATTACTAGGTTTCTTTTATAACGTATAGTGATTGAGTAAAACACTCTCTTGCGAGATAAACCTTAAAAAAATAATCGTAAATAGACTCGATGTAGAGGGACAATATTGTATTCTTGGCTTGTGTCCAAAAATGGACTGACAGTAGTTGATAATAATACATATAATGATGATGAGTAGGTAAAAGGTCATTGCTTAACTTGTTATTTAAATCGTTCTATTTATTAAGAAACTACTCTCATTAAAAATAATCGTTTATTACATTATGGAAAGTTATAAACGTATAAGTACTGAACATTTAATAAGTTATGACAAAATGTCTAAAACAAATCATATGAAATTGAATTTGTTTTGTTATTTATTTTTCCATGAATATCTTCTGTTCCAGATAATATCATGACTACATTTAAATAAATATACTAACAAAAACGTTTATGTTTGTGACACGTGTTGGAAAAAATAGGTTAAACCCATTCTTAAGAAAAATGTGTCTTCAAAAAACCACTGGCCTAAGTAAACGTTCGCCTAAAATGATGAATGCACGGAAAATCGAAAAGAATAACTTAAGTATAACTTTGCCCTCCGAAGGGTGCTTGAAAGGGCTGTCGCTACCCGAAGGAACCCTCTGTTGACTTAAGAGGTTGTGGCCTCTTTAGTGGTAGACTTACTTGACTTATGGTCCTATGTCCCCTAGATGGGGCAGAGGGCGTCCACAACAGTCCTCCATCTCGTTCGGTCTTGAGCTTCTCGCTTGATCTCGCTCCAGGTCTTGCCGATCTTCTTCGCCTCGTCCGCTACAGTGCGCCACCATGTTTGCCTGGGTCGACCACGTTTGCGTTTTCCTTGGGGATTCCAATCCAGAGCCTGCTTAGGGATGTGATCGGGGTCCCTTTGGAGAGTGTGGCCAATCCAGTTCCACTTGCGGCGCTTGATCTGTTAGTGGTAGATCGCCTTTTAATTCCCTCGAATTAAGCGTAGGGAAAGTGCTTCTACCAATTGTTATTGTTTTTATTTTTTACAATATCTAAGCTAGTGGACGGTGGAAATCGATGTTAACTGTTAACTTACTAAAATACGATTTCGTTTCTAGTTACTGTACAGATTAAGTCGGTCATTATAATTCCAGGTGTCACGGTATTATTGTGACCATCTTTAATTTGTGATCATTAAATTGACGAAGAAATATACAATGCGACCAATATTTGTGTATTTCCTTGCAAATTAATTTAACAATATCATTGGTATATACTTAGGCTGAGTTGCACCACCTAACTTTAACGGTAACTATAACGATTACCGGTACTTTTTATATGGAGTTTGACAGATTTTTGAAGTTTGTTAAAGCTAAAGTAAGATGGTGCAACCCAGCTTAGCTTAATGTATCAATTTCCAATTTAATGAAATAAACTGCAATACAGGAATACTTAATGTGATTTTTTCCCTGATTGGTTATTCCATAACCTATAGGTAAAAAGGTATCTAGATCTTTTCATGCTCGAATTGTACTAAATTAACAAGAAAACTCTTTCTTGTGTTCCTTACTTCCCTGTTACTTTCCCAAGTATTCATAATTTGTTTCCGCTTGAAAACCCACTTCCTGGAGGATTTTAATATTTATGTAGGTATGGTTTAATTTTTCTAATTTTCTGACCGCTGAAATGCAAATTAGCTTGCCTTTCAAGCTCTGAGTGTTTTTATGAGATTGCGGTGTTCCCGTAGAGGTCAATGCCTTTAGGGACTTAGGCTGGGTTGAACCATCTTACTTAACTTTGACAAAAGTCAAAAATCTGTCAAACTCCATATAAAAACACCGGTTAACGTTATAGTTACGGTCAAAGTTAGGTGGTGCAACTCAATTAACCTTAGTCGTATGAAAAGTAATAGAGAAAGAATGATTTTTGTTAGATTGGTTTTTGTTGACCTATGAGGTGGATAAGTTATGCTTTTTCCAACCAATAATACCTACTTATATATATATAAAATAGTTATGGCCTATAAAATAAGATTTATTTTCTTTTACACGCTAATATCGCAAATCACAGAATCAGACTTNTCTCAATTGTAAATTTAGTATTAATCTAACCAAATGATGTAATCTGTAGTGTTTTCCAATAAAATAAAATAAATAAAAAATAAAGGCCTGGAGCGTGCAATAGCATTGCAAAATCTTAATTACCTTATAAAGTTCATTCCTATCAGTCACGTACTGATGAGTGGCGTTCCTCCGGACCTTGTCCTCATGCCACACCTCCGTCAGGTCCAGCCCATCCAGCCTCCGCCCAGTGCTGGGACCGAGCGCGCTGGACATGTTGGGAAGCATCTCCTTGCGGCCTCCGCCCATGATGACCTGCAATGTTTGAAACAAATACATTTTATGAGACTAAGGATCAATCGGCCAATATGGATCATTGAGGTAGACCTATATTCAGCAATGGACGAATGATGATGAATAATGGAAGCGACGATAGCCCAAAGGACTGCCGCGTCGAGGGTCGGTAGTTCGAACCCCGTTGTCCGATGGGCTGTTGTGGTGAATTCACTTCTAACATAAGCATATTAAGCTCAGATCAATATAGTAAATCAATAATATTCTTTTTTTATACGTTATCATGATAGCTTTTTGCGAGGCCGTCTTCCTTGTGTTCGTCCTTATACATTTCCTTCTAAATTAACGAAGCAACAAAGCCAAGTGTTGAAAAAAAAAATTCACTAAACTTGGGAATCTGAATTTTTAAAGTTAAGAACATAATATTGTTCTAATTACAGCTAAATTATATTGATCGCAAAAAATATTGAAGATAATGCAGGTCACGGGTTTTGCTATTGTATTCTACCTCAAAGATTTAAGAACATAAATCATGGATCAAATTCTGTAATTTAGTTTAAAATATTCATTTTTCATGGAATTGCATTGGTATTCGTAAATCTCTTTCATTGCATGACAGTGAAACACGGCTGGAGGACTCTCAATGACAAAAATACAGACGACAGCACATAACTACACACTGTAGTGTCTTAAGTAGTTATAATAAGAGCGATATTGCATCAAAAATGTATCGTCTGATGTGCATTCGATTCTTTTCTTATCACAAAGTGTTTTCAACATCATTGTTAGATGATTCATTTACTGCTGTCCGTACGGAACTAATTTTCTATTGACGGATTTTTTCTTAAATAAGGGTATTTGAACTCCACTTTTTGTTTATTTCTGTAAAGTTTTCCTCAATCAATCAATTACTTAGGTTTCTGTGTATCGGTATCGAGTAGGCTAATTAGTTTTACGTAGGTATTTTTACCAAGAACAAAATCAAAACAAAAATAATTTTAGAAATAGCGGTAGACCGCATCTTGTTTTAATTTATTTGGACGATTTTTAATTGTATTCCATGTAAATAGATTTAGTAGATTGAAATTGCTAAAACTCCACGTCATTGAATGATTAACTTTGGTTAATTCTGCACTTTCAATGAATTGCAGATTGTAGTTTGCTGAATATTTCCTGGTTATCGTTCCAATCTTGCTTTTTTCCCAAAGTAAATTCCCAAAAAGTCACTGTACCGCGAGATTTTCTTTTAACATAGGTACTTGCTCTTAAGTCACTTAAAAATCCGTTGCCTGCCCTTTAACCAGCTATATGTTTTATAAGTCTAAACGGCACATTGTCAATTCGAACGTATTCCCACCTCTTGTTCCCACCGCTGCAACTCCTGTGCAGCAACGATCTACAGCTTAGTTATTAAAGNTTAGGCGGTTTCTGACAATGTCCTTTTAGCGTTAAGAGACGCATCTCAAACTATAAAATTATAAATAACTTGAAAAAATCGAACTGCCTAAGGCGGGAATTGAACACAACAGCGTATTACACTTGAAAATTTCGACGGGTTCATCCAGTGTCTAAGTAGCTCAGTTGGAAGAGCAGTCGCCCGGCAAGCGGAAGGTCGTGGGTTCAATTCCCGCCTTAGGCAGTTCGATTTTTTCAAGTTATTTATAATGATCTACAGCTTGACCGCCAATATTGACCGATTAAGATTTAAACTACCACGAAAGTTGTCTTCTAGCCAGCTTACCTTGAAGTGCTTCCCAGGGTAGCCCATGACGAGCTGGTGGGCGATGTCCTTGCAGCCGAGCGCTAAACACTCCTCAGGCACGTCGGCGTCCGCCTCCCAGTTTCTGTCTGAAGTGTGCGCGTACATTCCTGCTGGGGACGCATGGGTCACCCGCGTTGTTGTTACTAGACCTGAAAGAACATATTTAATGTTATCATCTTCACCCTCATTGTCATCATCATCATTATCAGTATGGTCATTATCATCATCAATGATCATCATCATCACTCGTCTCGGTCGCTTTTCTCTGTGCGGCGCAAATCGCCGTCTTTAGTTGCATATTATAGAACAAATTTATTCTTAGTCCAAACTTCGAGCGTTGCAACGCTCACTTCTCGCTTTAGTTTCAAGATTTTTGATAGAATGAGCCTTTTGATTAGTAGAATTTTATCGATAAAATGCGCCGATATTATAGACTAGAGATGAGACGTATTTACTAGAACAGATCCACACACTAGGTATTTTACAGTACTAGGCGGCACCTATTCCAATTTTTTAAATACTTGATCCACCTAGTATTTTATAAATTACACGATTTCCGACCCTACCATCAAAGTAATAGAGATTATTATTGCGTAATCCGTAGTCGTGTATTACGCGCACCTAGTATTTCTCGCTAAGCTTATGTGCGAACGTAGAGATTCACTCCGTCTCTGTCTGACCAAACAAATTTGAGCGCGACGAAGCAAACGCACACAAACGTAGTCAAACCATATTCATGTAAACAAGAAAAAATATGTAAATATTTTTATGAAATTGATATCTTTTAAATACGCCAACTTTTAAGTTGATAGTCCTATGCCTGTTGAAGTATGAAGGGAGGAATTATTATTCAATTTCAAATTGCATTATTCATACTACGCTACGGTTGTATCTTTAAAAAACAAATTGTATTTTAAAGTCATATTACGTGGATTAGTCCGCACTAGTCGCGTCAAGTATGCTAAATTACTACGTACGTACTAGGTGGAATAGGTATTTGGATCGAGTATTAATAAATACTAGGAATAGGTGCACCTAGTATCAAATTTACCTAGTATAACCCATCTCTATTATAGACCAATCACAGAATTGAAGTTTGGACTAAGAATAAATTGTTTTGAGCTTCGTTCTGCATTACAAAACTAATATAGTCAGTTGCGATGAGCATTTAGAGTAGGCGCACACCGTTGATTTTTCGTCGGCCGATAGTTTAGTCGGGCAGTTGATCAGTATGGGCATGTATGGGAGTGCGCACACTACGCCGATTCGATTTGGCCGATTCTTCATACAAATTAAAATCGGGCACAACTATCGGCCAACTAAAAATCAACGATGTGCGCCTACTCTTAGACGTATGCCGTTTTGTAAATTATTTTTATAGACCCAATACACTGAACTGTCCCACCCGTGACATTGACAGGGGGGCGCCTCCGTCAATACCGGATTGCTGGTTCCAATTTTTGCCATGTTGCTGGAAACTTTAAAGTTGAACGACGGTGGCGCCCCCTTTCAATGAGTTTGGTAGGACAGTTCAGTGTAGGTCATCTATACATTTATATCATCCCAGAGAGACTACATAGAAAGTGCACTTGAGCAAATACAATAAATACTCGAGTAAATAAAATAAATATGTACTATTGACGCAAGACACTCATCGAAGTGGCAACTCATAAAACAATGGATTTAATATCAATAACAAATTATCAATGCCGTATCTTCTGTTGCAATAAATATACCAACACAATAGACCATTAACAGTTTAAGGAAAGAGTCCTAGAGTCATTGAATTACTGTGCACTAATACCAATTACTTTTCTGTGACATCTATAGCAAGTTACAAAACATTTTATATAAGGTCTAGCGCCTAGTTCAATCACTTTTTGAGGTATGAAAGTGGCACGGGAGGGGTGGCATTGACATATTATGACGTGACAGATCCTACAAGGAAGGAGCTCTGAAGTCTCGTACGTTAAATTTTGATCTCACAAAAACTCTCGTGCCGTTCCTACCTCCTGAGCACTGACTCGGCTCGACTCGGAAGCACTGGACTTATAATACCAATTATTTTTTCTGGGACATCTATAACATGTAAAGAAATAATTTTATTACAGGGAGAATTTATGTACTATGTTTTATGTATTATGGTCAATAGAAGCACTTGATGTTGTAATTACTTAGACAACTAATGATCAGGATCAGACACGTGTATGCATTATTATTTATTATTGGTCTTTAAACTCATAAAACTCTATTGTTATTCTATTCTGGTGAGAAAGGGACTCTACCTAAAAGTTAAGTAAAGCTAGAAATTACACATCACAAGTAGACATAAGATGTCAGTTTTAGATGAAAATAATTCTCAAATAAACTTGTATTAAAGAGGAAGACTCTTCACTCTTTCCGTGAAAGTCGTAAGAGGCACTTAACTAAAAGAGAAATATCCGAATAGGCCTCCACAACCCGACTGGTCAGCGTGGGGACTCGAGGTCAAATACTCCATCCGCCTTTGGTAAGTTAGAGTGGATCGTACAGCTGCAGTGGAAATTGAACGACCTGCTGATGATGATGATGGTAGATGTACCAGTCTGCTTGTAACCACGACTGTAGCTACACAGCCAAAACGTCAAGCGGTACTAAAAGTACTGTACTTTATGAAAAGTGACCCATTTAGATCCGTGATACCATTTTAATTTATACGACCGACGACACCATAAAGATAGCAGGAAGGCGCTGGACGCAGGCCGCTACCAACCGGGCAACATGGAAAGCATTGGGGGAGGCCTATGTTCAGCAGTGGACGTCCTATGGTTGAGATGATGATGACGATGATGATGATGATTGTTTAAAAATTGCCGTGTTTTGACATAGTCCTTACCAACGTCCAGTCCTTCTTTTAACGCCCATTCCCCAATAGAGAGGGCCCTGTTGCCCTTATACAGCTGAGGGTAGCAGGACCCTCTGGTGACGTTGCCGTCCAGGCCAATGACGCCATACTTGGTCTTAACGCCTGAGAGGTATGACGTGGCAGTGCAGGCTGAATCGGCCACTTGGGCGTCCAGGCAGTATGTCTGGGGAGAAATATGAAAGTTAGACAGGTCAGCAGACTGTAACCATTAGCAGACTGCAATCAAACGCCCTTTGCGCTCAGAACTTCCGAAGTTCAATCAACTGTGAGCACATTATTAGGTACTATAACCAAAAACGCAAAAAGCGCCGAAGACAAAAAAAGTTAGACAGGTACTTTTTGGTATAATTTATGTACATTACTTGGTTGAAATACATTTAAAAGGAGAGATAGAGCTTAATTGGCACTATTGGTAGTGCGATACAGTTCAGGAAATCTAAGAGAGTTTTATGGACACGAATAGGTATTTTGTATGTGAAATCAAACTCGGAACCTCTGAGACAAAATAATCTAACTCCCTAACCACTAATAGGACTACGTTGTCTGAAAATTATTTATTATTATTAAAGTGTGCTTGTAAATAGATGAACAAATAAAATCGTCAATTGCTTTTTACACAGAAAAAGGAATTCCAAAAAGACTTAATTATTATTAAAAAAGTAGAAAGAAAAATATGACAGTGGTTCAGCTCGTGCTGCCAAGGTCTACCTGTGCTAAACAGCGCTAATTGTCAGCCATTCCTACTTCTCTTGATAATTAAAGTGATTTTTCATATTTCTTTACTTTTCTTTAAAACCGAACCTATACATATAGATCAGCATNGAAGGATACCATGAAATGTTTATTTGGAAGGTTTAAATTTAAAAAATACAAGTGATGTATTATGTACTATGCGTATACTACTTTTAAACTTACTTATTTTATTCTTCACTGTTTAAGGTTTTGAATAATTTAGTCCAAGAACCTACCCGAATAAAAGGGAAGAATCTACCAAAATGAGGAAATAACGATTTTAGACATTAAAATCTCGGAGATAAGGTTGCATTTTTGGCGTTTATTTTCGTGGCGCTCCTACTTCATCTATGGTTTACAAGTTTTTGGGTTCCATTAGACGAAATATTTATTTTTTGTTTACTAAAACTCATGAAAAACTTATAAAACTCTACTTTACTCAATTGCCGTATATTTTGATACGGTAATCAAAGTGCTGCCGTATACCGTATTTATGGTGCCTAAGATGCCTGAATGCCGTATTTTACGGCAATTGCCGTATCAAGAACAACACTGTAACATGTAAATGACATATTAGTTCTGCCAGTCACTCCATATAAATATTCGCGTCTTCCACTTATATACTCACCATGTTGAACAGCCATTTTTGAGCCAATAAATTCCATCTCATCCAGCCTTTGCATTAGAGTCTACATTATGTACGATCCGAACTAATTCAATCAAAATCAAAATCAAAATCAAAAATGTTTTATTCGTTAACAAACCAACTTTTACAAAAATTGTGGTGACATACCTAGTAAGTAAAAGTATACCTGTATCAGGTAGTCACCGCCCATTCAGACAGTGCTAGTTTTGGGTAAGTTTAACAAACAAAAAAAAACAAAATGGTTATTAATTAGATTACAAACTTGAAGTAGAAGGTAAAGAAAAAATATAAGGTGAATTAGAAAATATGGTGTTTGTAAGTGTGTGTGTGTGTGTGTGTGTNTATTACACGATTGAAGTTGTTCAGATTGAATTTGTGATTAACAATATAAGATGACTCATATTAATATACACAAAAAAAAACTATGTATTGTTGGTTGTGAAAAAGAATGTAACTTAATTTATATCACAAAAAGTAAAAAACAAAAGGTTATTTTTTTTGTGTATAATGATTCAATTAGACTAATACTATTAACCACAAAAGTTTTGTACATGTGTAAAATGTTATAAGTTACTTAGATCAGAAACATTTTAAAATCGCAACTAATAATTTGGTTAATTATTTGGTGTAAAATGATATAACTTAGCCCAAACGTCAGATTAAAGGAAAAAATAATGTCGTAGTTTATAAATCAAAGAACTTTAGTTAATAGTTTTAATAAATAATGGTGAACATCTACTAGTAAAACCTATAATTGAATTCAAAGTGCCTAACGTTGTCAATAAAAGTACTTAATAAGTGCATTATAGAATTTACAAGAACTCCAACTACCAGAACTCATTATAAACATAACTCATCTGTTAAAACCTTTGACAACAAATTGAACTGGGCGAGTCATGTCGAGAACAAAATAAAAATGGCCTGTATAGCATTCCATCAGTGCAAGAGACTCATTGGTAGTAGATGAGGTTTCAACCCAAAGATAACACTTTGGCTGTACACGTCGGTTATATGGCCCTCTTACACATATTATTATGGATCACTTGTATGGTGGCATAGAACACAACTATCCACAGCAAGATCAAAACTCCAAAGCCTGCAACGCCTAGTAAGCATAGCGGCCACTAGTTGTATGAGAACCACTCCATCGACATCACTTGAGTACCTTCTGAATCTTAGATCTTTAGACCTCTTCATTCAGGAGGAAGCGCAAGCAGCCGCTCTAAGACTTAAAGGTCAAGGACATATAAGAAGCAAAACAAGGAGACAGGACATTCCACGATCCTGCACAAAACCCTAATAAAAGAAATACCTCTCACCGAGGCACCTATCGACAGAATTCCCTGTGTTCAAATCTTCGACTGAAGATATAATATCCAGCTTACAGCGGAAACGCAAGATTGCTCTGGAATCAATGGTATATACATACACTAATGGCTCCAAAACCCAAAAAGGTACAGGAGCTGGTGTCTTCTCGAATTACCTAAATATACTAAGAATATCTACAACACTAGATAAACACAATACAATTTTCCAAGCAGAATGCAATCAGAGCAGCACAGCGGTTGCAACCATAGACATCCGAGGTCTAAATATAAAAATAATCTCAAATAGTGCAAGCAATACAAAGCAACTTAATATACTACATTATAATACTTATATTGGAAATCCATGACGCGCTCCTAAGTCATTGCAGACGCAAATGGCGTTACCCTGCACTCCTGAAGTAGATCAAAGGGAACAGTAACACCTTGGGCAACGACGCAGCAGATGAACTTGCCAGAAAGGGATCGTACACGACGGTATTTGGTCCGGAACAATTATCTACCTATAATGCCGATACCATAAGCACAGATCAAGACCTGGCTGCGCTCCAAAATAGAAAAATAACACCACACAGAATGGAAAGATTGTGAAAGATGCAGGCAAACAAAAGATGCAGTTGTGGATATATCGAAAAAGTTCTCCCGCAGCCTCATAAGACTAAACAGGGACAACATCCACAAGGTCCTAAGTGTAATAACAGGTATGTTAAACAAACACCTACACAATATAGCTGTTACAGACAGCCTACTGTGTAGAATATGCATGGAGGCAGAAGAAAAACCGAAGCACGTGCACAAGTAGTGCTCAAGCGTAGCAGATCAACAGGCTCAAATTCTCCAATCACCAGGGTCGCTGCAGAAGGCCTGTAGCGACCTAGATAGGCTGCTGCTACTTGGGGGGGGGGGTCTTGAGCGATTGGAATAGGAAGATAAACTACAAATAGCACACAATGGTCTAATCAAGAGGCTAAGTGCAATATTCGATTGCCCTGAGAAACTATCTACGAAAGTCCTTATGAATGGACTAGCTTTCCGCCCGCGGCTTCGCCCGCGTGGAATTTTGTCTGTCACAGAAAAACTTTATCGCGCGCGTCCCTGTTTCAAAAACCGGGATAAAAACTATCCTATGTTCTTTCCCGGGACTCAAACTATCTCTATGCCAAATTTCATCAAAATCGGTTGCGAGGTTTAAGCGGGAAAGCGTAACAGACAGACAGACAGACAGACAGACAGAGTTACTTTCGCATTTATAATATTAGTTGGGATACTATGTATAAAGTAAATAATTGTGTAAATGGCATGTGTTGCTGGACTTTATCTGCTTAGCTCGCAAGTATAACATGTCTTGTTAATTCATGTCTCTATTGATTTAAGAAGATTACCGCCCCAGGCAGTTCGATTTTTTCAAGTTATTTATGATTTAAGAAGAGTCTGACAAGGGTGGCTAAATTTCTTGCGCTGCTTCTTCTCAGCACTGGTCCATTTATGTCCCAAAATTATTGTAGGGTTCAAGTAATACTAGGACGTGTTAAAATGCTGTTTAAAAGCCTCTTTGTTGAAAACAAATGCATTTTATGAATTTACTTTTATATTATCCTTCTGTAGCCAAAAGGCAATCAATATACCTTGACATCACCATCTCTGGTCCAGGGTTTGATTCCTAAAAGGGTAATTGTAGAAAACAAACTTTTCTCTGTCTCCTGTCTAATTAGTTCATGTGAAACCATTGTTGTTTCTGGTCTTTACTACACAATTGCTTCAGCTATACTTACTTTATAATAGGAGATAATGTATGTGATTTAGGCCGATATCATTCATGGTATATGGTGTAATAATGAATAAAATAGTAGTTTCAGATCAGAATAAACATTAAAGGAGTAAATAATTAGAATTCAGTCTCAAATTCTAGCCTTATTCCTTTACAGTCGCCACTTATATCACTTTACACATAATTATTAGGATACTTAGATCGCTATTGTGTTAGTTAGATCAGTTTACACATTTTTTTTCTCCACAAAATTGGTGGATATTAATATAAGTAACAATTTTTGGACGATTTACCCTAAATAACCTAAAATAATGATTCCTCATAGTGTAATTACTTATGTTTATTTTACAACTTTTTCTAAAATTGAAGAAACAAAAAATTATCAACAGAAATGGTGGAAAATGTATCACTTTACACTTGTTAGCGTGTGGTTAATTCAGTGTGGTGTAAAATGATTTATATCCCATTACATCACTTTACACGAATGTAAAGTTGTCGTGCATGGTGATATAACTAGGTTTTTATTTAAATACGAAAAAACCACATGCTATATTTCCCAAAATGGCACACTGCCTAATTATATCTAACATTACCTTTCACCTAAAAAATATTTCATCAATCGATGGGTGCCGGGAATAAAGCCACAATCGACAAAACACAATTTTAGAGGAGAAGAGATTTAGTGTCAATTT